TTGCAGTAATGGTAAAGGATTATTTTCAAAAATCTCCCACTGAGGCAACCGAAATAAAAGACGCATAAAATAACAAATTAATTCCCGAGCAGTGGAAAACATTCCAGTAGTTCTGACGTCATGATGGTGCATTAAGAGAATTCCTGTTGCTTAGCAACCCTAGGTCAATACCAGCGGGTTGAGTCTTGTATCTTCAACCTCCACATGTTTTCCAGTTTATGTTCTCCCGATGCCGACTCCACATCAGTTGAAATAAAACAAGCTCACAAACAAACGACAAATACATCACACCAAGTATAATCAGGTAACCATTTTATTGTGTAAACTGGCTCTAATTTTTATCAGTTTGAGTTTTATGGTATAGTTAAATCCCTTAGAAAACACTGTTAAACATCATATTTTAACATTTTGAAAGTTAATAAATACACCAAATTTTCCAGAATTGCTACCTCAACCCCCCCCCCCCGGATCCCGTTAGAGAAATTCGTTTTGTCGCCGCTAACTAAGTTATTAAAATTTGTTTGTTATCTATCTCTCGAAACCCCGGCAGGTATTTATGTACGTATACAAGAAAGCTTTGTCGTCTAGATAGTATCTATAACTCTTAGCAAAAGCGCACCATTTAATTTGTATTTCATCTCCTAGATGAATTATGGTACAGTGGAATCCTGATTTTTCGAACCTCCAAGGAAAACCAAAATTAGTCCGAAAAATCGGATAGTACGAGAAATCGGGGGTAAATTTACAGCGTTCGACTGAGGAGAGGGAAACGACTTTTGGTTCAAGTTATCGGGAGGTTCGAAAAAACGAGGCTTCGAAAATCGGGATTCCACTGTATACTGTATGTATGTGACACGACAGGGAGTCAGGTAGGGACAGAGGAAGGGTTGCCCCCCTTATTGGGAGGATGGGGCGAGCGTGGAGAGATCAGCATAATCAAAACAACCTCACTAGTATCCATCCCGTTCCACATCTCTACCACCCCTTCCAACCATTTTGCCACTCCACTGATCGATATTTCCAGATATACAATCATATGCTTCCCTCTAACATGCACTACGACATCGACTTCTTTCGGCTTAACACATTGTCAATAAACACCCTAATGGAAGGTGATCCGTGTTTCTGCGTGTTCACGAATTGCCGAAGAGTGTTGTAAAGAACATTTTGAGAGTCATCGAATCCTTCGGACGCTGATAACTGGCAGAAGCCACACTCCAGGGCTTGAGCTAACAATCTTCCCTCGTATTCTTCGACTTCTCTAAAATGCTTCAGGTCGCTTTTGTTGCCCACAAGAACCAGGCAGGCTGGGTTAACATTCTTGGTTTTCAGAAGGTATTGGCAAAGCAGAGAGGCTTCTTCGAATGAGGCTCGGTCAATGGTGGAGTAAAGGACGAAGAACAGGTCTGATCCAGTGTGAACGCAGTTATCGATCTTTTCTAAGGAGTTCTGCAAATACGAGGATATTTAGAAGACGGGTCAGAAAGAATACGGGGCTTTGTGATTCTGCAAAAACAAAGAAACCCTACACACACAGTCGCAAACAGCCTTGTATAGAAGCGGGAAGGAGGACTATAAGCCTTCTCTTTAGCTGTCCGCCTTTTAAATTACAGTTTACAGAAAATAGACATTGGTTATGCCACTCTGCTTTACGAAAACACTGGTGATTTTATAGAAAAGTACATTCTAAAGTCAGTAGTGTGAAGTACATGTACAATACTGGTTTGATTCGTGAGAGATCTGGGCCGAGTTGTTCCAGGATTAGCGAGAATTTTGATTTCAGTTTTGTAACGTTTCGGTGAGGTTTTCTATTTATATTGTTCAGTTGTCCTTCAGTTTTGAGTTAGAACAATCTCAAACTACACAAAAATACAAGCAGTGAAAAACATGTTTATTACGAGATAAATTAATACTTTCGTTAACTTTAGAACCTGGTGGTTTAGGGTCAATGCCGAACTTTATATTGCTTGTAAATGTCAAAACGTGTGACTGAGAGACTGTGTGCTGTTGTATATGTTGATTTGGACTGACGTTTTGACAATATTAGTATTAGCTATCTTCAGAGTCAAGTGCACAAGGTTTTTATCAGATATGTAGTCCACAATGTTATGTAGCTATAGAGTTCTTGACCTAGGTGACAGCAGTGGCGGTTGTTAACTAAGAATCGGTTAATCCCAGATATCTTCACCTCGTTTTAAGTCAGTGCGTAGCGTGGGTTTCAGCCATTGACGCTAAGTGTTATTCCTCGAGCGCGCGTGGGATGTGAGATGATAGATAGATAACGAGACGCGTAGCACCGAGTAGAGCATGGTATAATGGCTCTTAGTATATACCACACAAGTGAATAGTACTTTTCGCGAGCTCTGATTGGTTAACTCGGAGGTGATTAGCAAGTACTATCCACCTCCGAGCAGCCGGCGCGAGAGATTTTAAAATTTCCAACCGCTTGTCAAACATAAAATAACGTTTTGGTCCGCTAATTATTCAGCTTCTGTGGTATATACTAAAACAATTATTCACCTCAGTGTCGGTGAAAGTGATAGATATTTACCTCCACTTCGGTGAATCATTGTTAAATATACCGTGAAGGCTAAGCCAACGAAAACCCTTGAATTGCATTATGCAATGATCAAGTTTTTAATACTTTCGCCAATAGCCAAAGAACCTGTAAATATTGTACTGCAAGCAGATTTACCTACCCACGATAACTAAATTGCCCACATTGATAAAACAGCGTGATGTGGATAAAAGGATGAGATTCTCACCTTTCCTGCTGTGTCCAGAACGTCAAGAGACAGAAACTGACCATCCAACTCCACATTATGACGATATGTGCACTCTGCGAAGAAGCGAGTGAAATGACTTGATTTCTTACATGAAGTACTTATCTCCCCTGACTCCTTGAAGCCTTAAAGTTCCTCGAGTACTGAGTGATCATTATTTGCCTCCTTATCACAAAATCAACGCGTAACCAAGTATATAATACAGTGGAATTAATTCCTCGAACCCTAGATTTTTCTAACCTCCCGATAACTCGAACCAAAAGTAGTTCCCCTCCCCTTGGTCGAACACTGTGAATTTACCCCCGCTTTCACGACTAGACCCAATTTTTCAATGTACTTTTTTTTGTTTCCGTGGAGATTCAAAAAAAAAAAAGTCGTGATTTCACCGTAGACTAGAATGATAAGCAAACAGAGTCCAACGACAAATATAGAGTTGTAACTGAGATAGCCTAAACCAAAATACTACGATCAAAGTCTCTTCTCTAAACAAAAACTCCGCAATGAACCTCGATGAAACTACACCGCATGATATTGTTGCAAATGGTACCAACGTAGTCAACAAAACGTATATGCTCCAATCGTGATTTTCTTCCACCTCTTAATTCAAAAAACTTTTATCCTCTTATAGCTAAGAAATTTAAGAAAGGCCGGGAGCCAAATGTCCCTCGCTACAGCATTCTGCCTATAATTCCACATGCAATCTTTTATTCTTCAATCGATCAAAACTGAGCGAGTTTTACACCAATTTGTTCTTCGTGTTCAATCAAATTGTAGCAAACATTTTCTCAAAAACTGAACGCAGAAACCGTCGAAATTCTCTAGGAAGATGATGCTACTTGCAATTTTCGTGCAGGAACAACTAAGTCCCACATGCACAGATTTAATTTATTTTATTTATCTTTGAAAATTCCGTATGATTACAGGCTTAATGGCTGAGTTATGGCTGAGTTAAGGCTTGAAACGATAACGGATTAGCGAAATGACCAGAGTTCTTCCGGCTTAGTCAGATGACTGATGTAAAGAACAATGTTTGAATGGATTAAAAGGATGAAACTAATTAATGCTTTTCTGACTATTTTGGATGCGACGTGGGAGAAATAGGAAAACAAAATTGGGTGGGTGAAGTCAGTGTGTACCACAGACAGAATTAATAAACTACGCAAATTGTAAAGTTGGAGACTAAAAATGCGGCACTAACTGACAGGTTATGTAGGGCTATGTTTCGCCACTGCATGCAAAGAACGAGGAATCTTTAAATTAAACTCAGCCGACAACCGTTGACATCCCTATTCACACAAGATTCGCCAGATTAACCCGTGAAACCCTATAACTTTTGTGTTTTGTCAACGGAAATCGTCTTGTTCGACCTTTTACCGGTTTGTCGAGTGCTTTTTGCACTAACAAATGCAATATGGAATCGTATCTCATGACCGCAGTGCGTTTTCAATCGCGCTTAATCTAGTGTTTAAGGTACTGAATTTCTTACTAATATCTATTACCAGTGGAAGTTGGCTTGATTTTATTCACCACTGTATTTTTAACCTGAGTTTTGACTGACTTCCTAATGGACGAAAAATGCTGGACTAGTTTGGCAGGAGGTAAACTAAATTCCCAGGAATAACTACAAACTCAGCTGATCATGAGGAAAGTCTCAGCCAGGCTATCCTGTTGGGAATACGCGATGCACTGCAAGCATTTTTTTGTTCTAGTGAGTCTCTGACAAATCTCAGTGTTTTGCACTTGACAAGTAGTTACGTAATAACACGAACAAGGTCAAATTAAACCTGAATGGAAGAACCTCTCTTTGATGTAACTCCAAATTCCCCGTGTTTACATCAGGGAAAACGTGCAGGGATAAGAAGATGGAATTGCTTTTCTTTTTTCAAAACTGGGAATGAATAGGCTAAACTGACCGGTGTTTTCCTGGAGTACATGTCTGGACCTGTACGATTACACCGTACCTAAGTTATTACGAGAGTTCTCTTTTCTAAACTGACCACACTTAACATCCGGTGGTTTTTTCCACTATTAAATGGTTTATCAACCCCCTGTTGCTGTTTTCATTGAAAATAAATTTGGACAAAAAAAGCTCTTGGAATCCCTGAAAAATAAACACTGACAGTCAACAGGTCTCCAATGCTACATTAAGATGGCTTTCATGATTAACCTTTATCCAGGAAATAATTTTCTGATAATACTAAGAGCTTATCTCGTCTGGCTCAGTTTATCGTATACTCAGTCGTTAATTTACACAGTGGCTGCTAAATCAATTAATTATTATATCAACTTACCTAACGTGGTGTCGTATTCTCCAATAAAACGTCGTGTTAATGCTCGAACAGTAAACGCTAAAATATATT